AATGATGTTCCATGAATATGAATTGTTCAATATGCCAATGTGTTAAAGCGGAAGTAAAACAACATTACAACCTGCAATCTGATTATACTACTACTTCACTGATGACATCCAAAGCCGTTCCATTTAAGGAGTAGATATTACCTTGCTGAGATGTCATCCTCATCTAGGTCGGCCTCTCTCAAGCGCGAGCCCTTAGGTCGGCCTGCTCAAGACGGAGACCTTACGTCGGCCTCTCTCAATCTTTTCTACACAGAAGAAACCTTGAAATATATGTATGTATATATCTATCTCTCTTTCCTGTCTCAGGGAACCCCTACTAAAAGTTACGATATCTACAACTCATGATACATTAATGTGAGGGTCAGGGGGAAGAATGCTCCTTACACCTGCAGTCATTGGAAAGTTAGCCTGAAAGATCAATAGCTTATCCGAGAGGCAGAAGTTGCTCACTGCTCAACCCCTAGCAACCTCTCAAGAAACCCTGCCTTATGTGAATAGCAAAATCATAAGAGTTGAGATTCTCTAAAAGTACCACCTTAAGCTGTATAAGCACCTTGGAAGATGCCTGCATCATTGCAATCCTGAACTGAAAGCAAGGTTTGGACTCTTTTGGTCCTCGCACATGTGGGATGTGCCTCAGCAGCTGTGGGCTTGTAGTTCTCAATGAACTGCCACGGCGCTGTGGAGCACCACGGTAGTTCATTAACCACTTCCTGTCCGGACACTTTTACCCCCTTCCTGTCCAGGGCAATTTTCAGCTTTCAGCGCTATCACACTTTGAATGACAATTGCGCGGTCATTTAATACTGTACCCATATGAATTTTTTACCATTTTTTTTGAGACAGATAAAGCTTTATTTTGGTGGTATTTATTCACCGCTGGGATTTTTATTTTTTTTTACTATGTAAATGAAAAAGTCCAAAAATGTTGAAAAAAAGTGTTTTTTTTTTATAAAATTTTGCAAATAAATAATATTTCATCCTAAATCTTGGCCAAAATTTATTCCGTTATTTTTTTAGTAAAAAAAAAAAATCCAAATTAGTTTATAACCAAACATTATAATTTTTAAACATTTTTTTTTACATTTTTTTTTATTTTTTTTTTTTATTTTTTTTTTTTATATTATTTTTTATTTTTTTTTACATACTGTCACCCTAGCAGTACAGTGTCACCATGGTGACACTGTACTACTTGTGGGGGGTGATGAGATTTTTTTTTTTTTTTTTTTTTTTACACTGATTGCTTTTACACCCATATAGGATGTAAAAGCAATCATTTCTCTTTCTCTCTGTCTGCATTCTTGCAGTCATTGAGAAATACTGAGTGAGCTGTGATTGGTCACAGCTTGTCACATGGTACAAGGCTGTTGTGAATAGCCTTGTACCATGTGACCTCTGTGATCATTCACAGATTTCACACGTAGTAAGCAATGATGTCACAAGTGACATCTTGCTTACTACTTTGCATGTGATCACTGATTGGCGAATCAGTGATCACATGACCGGGACCTCGTACAGAGGGTCCCGTCCGACGATCGGTGTTTCGGAGGACACAGCGGACACCGGATCGCGGTGGTGCGCGCTCCTAGGGAGCGCGCACAGCTAGAAAAGGCGGGTGCCGTTTAGGAACGGCAACCCGACCTTGGACTGCCACCGCCCTGCCGTTTATAAACAGCAGGCGGACGGCAAGAGGTTAAATCATCCTGTCGGTATATCTGCTTCCCCAAACATCCCATACAGGCAAACAGATATACTGACAGAAGACCTTATCCTTTAAAGGCAGGGGTGTCAAACTGGCGGCCCTCCAGCTGTTGCGAAACTACAAGTCCCATCATGCCTCTACCTTTGGGGAGGTCATGCTTGTAACTGTCAATCTTGCAATGCCTCATGGGACTTGTAGTTTGGCAACAGCTGGAGGGCTTCCAGTTTGAACCTGTGCTTTAAGGGTATACACAAGTCTTGTGCATTCACAAAATATTTGCTAATCTGCAAAAATGGAGTGCTGAGATTTTGTGGTGGCAGAGTTCACCCTGTGCTTCCCCAGTGCTCTCAAGGCCTTGAAAAATACCCTATATGATAAAGCAACTCTCCCTCCCTCCCAGGATGCAATGCTCAGGCCTGAGCAGCCAATTGCCAGTACTGAAAACATTCACTTGAGCAAAGTAAGTTGGACTTCCATCTCTGAGCAAGGAACAGGGAGGCAGGAGAGTGCAGGGAAGGCCTCAATTAGAGACAGGGGACAGGTAGGTATACGATTGACCTTAGACTGGCACACGTGAGCACAAGAAGAACAGAAAGATGAGCAATACCCATCCACTAAAAACACCTGCTGCGTCACTGGGGCCTGAGAGAGAAACACTGCATACTCTGCTTAAATATATAATAAAAGACATGGTTCTAATAGCCTTCTGGCCCACCCTGGTCCTGAAAAGCATCCACAACCATGGAACGAGGGGAAGGAACCTTAGCTAACTGCTAGGGACAGTCACTAGCTTAAGGATAGAAGCAATGAAGGTTTTGGAGAAGCTTTCTCAACAAGCCAAGAAGATCAACTACACAGAGAGTACCCAACTCTGTCTTCAGGTTCCACGAAAGCCTCTAGACATACCCCAACCCCAACAGGAGTACTTGAAGTAGGTGTACTGTCTGCTGACAAGTCAGGGAAACACACCTTGTCTCCACCCCCAGCAATGGTATTTTCCTGTCATGCAGGAGATGAGGCACAACAAGCTATGCAACCCTCTCTCGCCAGCAAATAGAATACCAGTTGAAGAGAACCAGAAGACAACAAATTAATTCTAGTCAAGAACATAGTTGAGGGCAGTACTCAGCATCCTTTAGCATAGGGATGAGATTACCCTTCCTGACACAGGGAGAACTCCCAAACCTTCCTGAAGGCGATGATTTCACAGCACCTAAGTGATGTCTAACAGAATCCAGGTCAAGAAACTGACTCGCAGTGGTATCCCGCAAAGAAACAGGAACTACTCCGAGGAACCAGATCAAAATCCTAGATATGGTAGGACCCCTGGAGGGGGGGCTAGGTGGAGAAAAAAAAAAAAAAAAAAAAAACCCTCTTCAAAGAAAGTTGCCCAAACATTCCATAATGGAGATGCGATGTGAAGGCACTAGGTTGGTTGGACATTAGTTGCATTGCTTTAAGAACTAGCAGCCACGTCTGAAGGACAGCGCGGTGTCAGGTCACTGTTAGTGAGGGAAGAAGCAGGAAGCCCAGCCAACCTGGTAAATGTGGGGAGGCCCCCTGGAGAGGGATAATGCGAAGTGTTACCAATGATGGGTTCAATAGGAAATAAAACTGTCCTAACGAAGGGCCGAATTCCAGAGGGGCAACAAATCACAATGTCAAGCTCCCATCTGCCACTTGTATGGCCTTCAAAGCAAATGCAGAGGAAGCACCAATCCATATAACTGCAATACATAGACCAGCTAACAGTAGAAGCTTAATGAGGAATCTTGCTGGAAGTCACCAGGGGAAAAAATTTCATGAAGCAAAGAAGGCCTCTAATTTTGTAGGACACTAGTCAAAAACTGATCTACACTGGGTAAAGAAGGGGTTATATGGGGGCTGGCTTAAACTTTTCTGAGTTCCACCTCCTGTAGGTGACAGAATAAACAGACTTTCGGAATTCTTATGTCCCTCAATGAATGATGGAAAAACATCTTTTACCGGCTTACCGACTGCCCTACAGCAGAACTACTGCTACAGGGTGGCAAGGCTGCGCAAAATCACGCATATAGAAGTGATTTGGGATGCGCACAAGCCGCCTTACTCGCGCTGTCATTGGTCCCGGCCAGAGATCCCCCGGCGGCACCCAGCGATCGCCGAGGAACACTGACAAGGGAGAGGCCTGTATGTAATAGAGGCAATATAGATCTCTCCCGTCAGCACAGCAATACAAAGCAGCATGCTTACACAGTAAAAACAGCATATAATGTGAAACATACACAGTACAGTTAACCCTTTGATCGCCCCAGATGTTAACCACTTCCTGCCCAGTGCCATTAGTACAGTGTCCGACTATAGAAGTCTCTGATCACCATTACTAGTGTATATAAAATTATTATATATATATTCCAGTATATATACCGCCATTTGTAGACGCTGTAAAACCTTTCACGTAAACCAATCATTTTCACGTATAGGGATTTTTTTATTGGCCTACATTTATGACCAAATTAGGTTTTTTACTGAATGTTTTATAGCAAAAAAGTCAAAAAGTGTTTTTTTTTTTTTCAAAATTGACAGCTTTTTTGTGTATAGCACAAAAAAAAAAAAAAAAAAAAACCCCACGCAGATATCACAGAAAGAAAGCTCCATTTTGTGGGGGGGGGGGGGGGGGGGGGGGGAAGGGACAAATTTCATTTCGGTGCAAGGATAAACGACCGCGCAATTGTCAGTAATGCAGCTCCGTATCGCAAAAAAATGGCCTGGTCAGGAAGGGGGGGTAAATCCTCTGGAGGGCAAGTGGTTAAGCGAACCTAAACAAGCAAAGTTAAGAAGTCTCTTTAATAATTGCTAATAAACTGAATTTTCAAACACAGGGACCTCCAAGTGTACTGGCCGTTTGTTTCTGCAGCAGCTGCTCCCAAACACCAGAGGCAGCTATAACAGAAGATGAGGTGTAGACTTTCTACTGGGATAAAATGAGCCATTCTTCATAGCTTTCTTTTAGCTCCCTCATGCGGAGGCTGGGAGCAGATGATACAGAACAGAGGCTCCCTCCATGTTAATGGTCACAGTTTTAGAATGCAAATTTCAACAAGCTCCTAGGTGTGATGATCAGGGTGTCCACAAGCCTTACAGTGTATAAGGCAATTTCTGCAATTCTCCCAATTCCTTCAAATTTTCTCTCAAAAGCTGAAGCATTGCCCTGCATTAGCTAAATTAATGAAAACCTAAATGATGCAGAATTTAATGAAATTGGCACCAAGAGAGGAGGTCTTCAGTCACACGTTCCCCTGAAATACTCTCCACTCACCCTGTATTCATAGTCTGTAAATTCCCTTCCCCCACGCCCTCCTCTGTAGCCTCCACGGAAACCTCTGGGTGCCCCAAAACCCCCGCCGCCTCTTCTTTCGCCTCGCCCTCTTCCACCACGGTAGCCCATGTTTTCCTCCTCGGCCTCTGAAACCACCACGTCCTCTGGAGCGCAAAGGAACACCAAATGTCTCAGCGTTAAGTCTTCGCTCCTCAGCCCACGTTTGTCTTCGCTCTCTGGAGGAGTGGGGGAAAAAAAAATGTAAACTATTTAGCATATTACAAATGTTTTCCTCAATAACCAATAAGACAAGAGATAAAAAAAAAAATATATATATATATATTTATTTTGTACTCACCTAGGTGGATGCAGAATCGGTCCAATGTTGCATCTGAGATTGAAATTTGAGCGATCAAAGATTGCTGACCGCTCAGTTCTCGGTCTTCGCTGAGCAGAGAGTTGATAACTCTGTCACCAGCTCTCTGCTCTGTCCCTGCAGTGCTCACTGGAGCACCAGGCTGTGGTAGAGGCAGGAGCAGCTGACCCAGGGAAAAAAAAAAAAAAAACCACACACACACTCTGTCCTAGGGTGACGGCACTAACTCACCATTTTGTAACATTGGCCAACTACATGATTACAGGCACAGCATCCAGTATGTCCCTGAGTAAAGGACACAATCTGACCACGCTAGCACGAATCTGCTTGAGTGTTTAGAACAAACCATATTAAACAGGAAGCCCTTCAATCAGTAGGACTGGCAGGATCACCAGGTATTTGTAATACTTCTAAAAATAAAAAATCTAAAAAGGCAAACCTGGAAATGAATAGGTTTTCTGCTGCCTGCATTCTCAGAATGGCACTTTGTTGATATATTCCACTACATTTTGCTGGGTAACCAACAGTTTACAATCTCCTCCTTCATCACCACAGCACTCCTGCTGACCTCAACATTATTACAGAACCAAGTCATGTGCAGAGGTTGGCAGGAGAAACCACAGGGGGACGGGGTACTTCAGCAGAGGATTTCTCACCAGTGAAGCAGCCTGGCCATGGGTTGGTATTTACGATCTTCGGTTTCACTCTGCTAACAGTGTCACTTTAAATGGAACATTGAGCTCAGTGCCAAGGTCTGCTCATTCATGTTACTCCCTCCCTAAAAAACACTGAATAAATATTCAGCACTCCCAAAATCTTGCAGGTGGGAGGATACCACCACCCCTGCACTATGGAAGTCAGAGAAAGGCCAGCTGAATGTCTAATTTGCCAACACCGCTACGGTTATACATTTTAGGAAAAGGAAAGCGGCACCCTGATGAAGTGGACCTTGCTACTGAGGTGGAAAATTTGCTTCAAGTCCTGACCTTAAAACAAAATATTTATGTATAAAACCACTTTTCACGTTTTATGCTATTAAGTCAGAGAAAATTCCACTCCAAAAAGGAGGATACGGCATAGTCCTTACCTATTATCGTCGCAGGAGATGTTGTCGAAGAAAGATTTGGTTTTATCGTAGTAACAAGGCACCTCTTCCTCTTCTGTCGTTCCTTCACTGGTTTGCATTTCCACTCCAGAGTCTCCTTTGTCCTCCCCATTCACTGGCTTCTCCGCTTTCTCATCTGGAAAAACACACAAGCATGAACCCAACACGCACAGGACACGTTAGATGTTTACATGACTGTTTATACAGTGCAATTTCTAAATTCTAAAGTATGTCCGGTCAAAATTTTTTTGTTTTTAATCTAGCAGTGACGGGTTAGAGCCTCTCTCAGGTTTTATTGCTGACTGGCTGAAGAATTTAGGACAACTCAACAGAGCACTCAAAAGCGCACAGAATTTCTATACATTAACTGCTTCAAAAATCAGCATTTTTTCTAGATTACTTAGAACCCCCAAAATAACACATTTTTGGTACAATATAATTGTTATGCCAAGTATGCCCTCTTGAGGATTTACCCCCCTTCCTGACCAGGCCATTTTTTTGTGTTATGGTGCTGCGTTACTTTAAATAATTGCGTGGTTATGCAACGCTGCACCAAAATGAAATTTACATCTTTTCCCCACTAATTGAGCTTTCTTTAGGTGGTATTTGATCGCCTGTGAAGTTTTTTTTTTTTTTCGGTATAAGAAAAAAAAAAACAAAAAAAAAAAAAACAAAACAAAACCCGACAATTTTGAGAAGAAAGACAATATTTTTTACTTTTCGCAAAAAATTTTTTTAATCAAATTTCGGCATAAATTTAGGCCAAAGTGTATTCTGCTATGTCTTTGCTAAAAATATGTGTAAATGAATTGGTTTACGTGAAAGTTTTAGCATTTACAAATGGTGGTATAGATACTGGAATTTTTTTTTTTTTACTTTTACTGGTAATGGCAGCGATCAGCGACTTATAGCGGGACTGCGACAGACATTCTGACGGGGGGGGGGGGGGGGTTCGACTGACTTGGTGTCACTGACATTCCCGGTGACACCAATACAGTCACCAGTGCTAAAAAAAAAAAAAAAAAAAAAAAAAACAAACAAACACATGCTTATACTTGCCTGCTCTGTGCAGTAGTTTTGCACACAGCAGCCCCAATTCTCCTTTTCTCAGATTCCCCACCAGTGCTCCTGGTCCCTCCCTGCCTCCCACTGCTGTCTCAGCTAATAGGGAAGAAGCATCCCCCCGATGCTTTCGTGCACATTGCTGGATTGCCATGGGACTTAAGTATTATGGGGGGCTGCTGCACACAGATTTACTTGAAGCGCTTTTCTTTTCTATACATTTTTTATTCACATGAAATGGCCCTTGAATGTGCTAAAAAAATGTGACTACTTCAGCTACAGTCAATTCCCAATCACTGCCCCCTTCTTTCTTGCACATGATAGACCTCACCTCCTCTTGGAGAAATTACTCTGTGCTGGCCCAGCTACTCCACCCCCTGAAACTCACTACATAAACTTATGTAGATGCCAGAGGACGAAGTAAATAAGTGCTATAGAGTGCCTCTTGAGCGACAGCTACTGGAGCTGCCGAAATCACCTCCAGGATCGCAACGTCCAGCAGCAATTTCTGGGCTTTTAGAGGCGAGTATGAGGGTGGCTTTTTTTATGGGGTAAATAAACATGTTAAGGCCAATAAAATCTTGAAGATTGTTGCTAAAATAAATGATCTGGCAACAAGGTCTCTAAGCGGGCAGAAGAAACTAGAAAAGTAAAATTAGGAAATGAATATACTGCAATAATTTAAAGGCTAAAATGTTAAGGTCCCGTTCACACGAGTATTTTGTAGTTTGAGCTCCAATATGCTCGACAAGCAAAATCCCATTCATTGCACATCTGAGCATTGTCGCCTGTAGCAAGAACACCTGTCACTCAAAAAAGCATGTGATCTTTTCAGGCAGATCAAAGCATTTTCGGGCCCCAGGGACTTAAATGGGAAACCCTGATAATGCACAACATGAGAGCTTTACAAGCATTTTGTTGTGCGTTTTCCAGCCAAACCGCTCTCCCCAACAAATCTCATCCCACTAGTGCTTTCTTTTGGCTGACAACATCTGAAGCTTGAATTCATATAAACACAATATTAATACACTTCTAAAACACTTGTATACGTTTGCAAAAATAAAGATGCCTGAAAATCGCTCTGCTCACGTGAATGCATCTAAAACAGTAGTAAATGCAGAGTTTAAAACATGCCCTTACAGGTAAGCGTGAATATTCACGAAAACTTGCGCATCTTAGAAGATATTCACATGGTCTCCAACAGACGTCACTGACACATGCGGTGTAAACTCTGCATTCAGGGAACACAGATGATTGCAGAGCACACCATGCTGCAATACTGACTCCGGTGCGCAGGGATGTCATCAAAGCCAGCCAACTGAAAACATCCAGAGCACAAACCTGGAAATGAGGCTACTGGACAGCCACAAGTTTACCCACCTTTTATTTTTAACTTGTTGTGAAACTCCCTGTCGATTTCTTCTTTGTTGAATTGTGCATTCGCGCTTTCAAAGTCAAAGTCCTTCTCAAATTTCATGGGACCGTCTCGCCTGACATTAAATCTCCCTCGGCCCCCTCTGTGACCACCGCGACCTCTCCTGGGCTGGGATGTGCCTGCTGCTGTACTGGCTTTGGTGAAACAATAGGCATGGTAAAAAAAAAACTGAATTGCTTTTAAAAAAAATGTCTAACTTAGAACACAAAATTGGTGCCTACATGTACTTTTATACTATGAATCACCTAATCTGTGTCCCAATGTTTACTAACTGAAGATTCGGTTTTTCAGAATTAGGTGCTATCCATTCCCCCAGAACAACAACAGAATTAATGGCCATTAGTAGGGCAGGGGAGGGACACAGCTCCAAGCAGAATATGAAAATTTGCCTTGGTTCCAGTGCCTGTCTAGGAGCACACAAAGGACAGTGTTTTTATAACCACTTAAAGACTGGGCCTATTTTTGTACCTGTTTACTTGCAAAAAAAGAATCCCCCCCCCCCAATCATAATTTTTTTTTTTTTTTTTTAAAGCAGAGGCCCTAGGGAATAAAATGGTGAGTGCGGCAATGTTTTTTGTCACAGTATTTGCACAGCAGTTTTTCAAATGCAATTTTTTGGAAAAAATATAAACTTTACATTTTAATGCAAAAATACAAAATACAATACCCAATTGTTTGGTAAAATATAAAAAGATGTTATGAGTAAATAGATACCAAACATGTCACATTTTAAATTTGCACACGCAATGGCGACAAAGTATATTATCTATAGGCTATCTTTTAAAAGTCTTTACATGTTACCCCTTTAGATTTACATAGAAGGTCTAGTGCTATAATTATTCCTCTCGATCGGATCGGACGTTCATGGTGATAACCAGGGGCGGACTGACAACTCATGGGGCCCGTGTCCTTGCCCAAACTATGCCTATGAAAAAGGTACTAGGGGCATCACATGGGGCCCCCTACTGACCCTGGGCCCTCGGGCAGTGCCCGAGTTTCCAAATGGTCAGTCCGCCCCTGGTGATAACTCACGGTGTGTGGCGCAATCACTGTTCATATACCAATGTAGGACCATCACGTGCATCCGCCTTTACTCGCAAGCACGAGGTAGTGTTAATTTTTTTTTTTTTTTTTTTACACAGTCCCTTTAGTTTTTTTTTTTTTTGGTAAGCATCCCTTGTGATAATAGACAGTGACAGGTATTCTTTACCAAGAGATCTGGGGTCTATTAGCTGCATTTGTCATCCTGGTAAAACCACTCAAAGTTGGGTGACATACCTGTACATCACCTAGCATTAAAGTATGTGCAGATACTCATTTAAAATGTATTTCCCAATAGCCAAAAATGACAAACCATTTGCACCAAATGTCTCTGGAAACATTTTGCCTTGGGAAAAGAGTGGCAACATAACTGCTATACATAGCCTGTACAAAGGGCAGAGCCCATAAGGCCCCACCCACTACAAGCTGCCTGCAGAAAACTACTTGGCGTGGGCTTAGACCAGACCAGTCACCCTGTACAAGCAGAGAGAGCGGTCTATATTAAAGGAAGTTTCATGGATTACTGCACAGATCTGCAAGGAACACATAAAGCTCACCAAGAGTCAACTAGACAAGCCTCTTGTACTTACACCATTTACTTAACCCAGATTTTAGTTTACACCAAACAAGTTCACTCTTAGGAAAAAAGCCAAGCTTCTAGTTTTCCAAGTGCACGGAAGTCTACCGGACATCTCTTACCCATATGCCTCCTGCTGAAGTCTTGCTTGTCATTCCTGAGCATGTCTGCTTCGGCTCTGGCTATCTTTTGTGCATCGCCTAGACAAAAAAAATAAAATAAATAAAAAACACAAGAGATAAGGTGTCCGTACATTGTACAACAAGGATACAAAAGACAAAGCAAAGAGCTGCTGCTCACTTTTTCTTTGCTCTGGACTTTCCAAGGTCTTTTGTATTGTGGATGACAGAGATCTGGAAGGAACTGGACTCCTTCTGCCAACAGCTGCAGTCACCGCTGGCGGAACAGCCGATGCCGTCTGGACCCCCTGTTCAAGGGTTGGACTCTTCCGTAAGGGATCTAGCAGAGGACTTGTGCGACCTGCAGACATAAGTAACAAATAAGTGCACTCCTGTGACCCAGATGAGAAGTATGGCCAAACAAAACCAAGCAATTGTCCAAGACAATCTCGCTGAAATTGGCATTTACCTTGTGACAGTTGTGTTTTTTGGGTCCTTGGGTCTTGGTTAAAGGATGAAGCCACAGTGCTGGATGAGCCTAGAGAAGCACTGGATGCAGAGTCTGCACCAAATGAGCTCAGTGTGCTGCCAGCTGATAAGGAGGATTTAAAAAAAAACAAAAAAAAAAAAAAAAAAAAAAAAAAAAAAACACAACAGCAATGAAACCGGTTCAAGGCAAATGCTACAACATACTGTCCAAATACACTAAAACATCAGACACCTACAACCAAATACTTTAAAGGATAGGTTCACTTTTTGGACACAAATAATAAATACACTTTTTTTGCAGGTAAAAAAAAAAAGTGCAATATTTTTGTCCAAAGGACAACAATCACTGCTGCGGCTATGGGACGCATGTTACATGTTCCAAAGGTGAACTTGATCCTTAACTATATGGAGGTAGGTATAAGGGTATGGCGTTTGGGTTAATCAACTGTGCTAGGGCAGCACAGTGGCTAAATGGAAGTGCCCGCCTGGCAGTACTAGGGTTCGAATCCCAACCACAGCACCACCTGCTTGGTGTTTGCATGTTCTCCCTGTGCCTGCATGCGTTTCCTCGGAATACTCCGGTTTCCTCCCACACTCCAAAGACATGCTGGTAGGTTAACTGGATCCTGTCTAAATTGTCCCTAGTATGTGTATGTATGAATGTGAGTTAGGGACCTTAGATTGTACGCTCGAGGGTTAGGGACTGATGTGAATGTATATTATAATATATATTACATACGCTGTGTAATAATTGACAGCCCCATATAAGTCCCTGTAATAAATAGTACTAAAAATAATAATGCTCAGATTTCAGCAAATTTTCCATATTTAAAAGGTGAAATGTAATATACACATATTACCTTCCCGTGCAGCTGCTGCAGCTTCAAAGGGTTATATTGCGGAGATGAAAGTTTGCAGGAAAACAATAGCAATCAGCCTCAACACAGAAGAGGACTTGCTACAAATGTGGGAAATAAGGTTGGAGATCAGCTTATAACTAAACACTGCATTTTGAAGGGCTGAATCCAGGTGCTTTGAAAGATACAAAGCAGATAAATGCAGCAAGAATGCAGCTTGTAGACCTCATATTGTAATACTGCTGAAAAAAAAATGGTCAAGTTTCAAAATGTCTAATCCACCCCATTAATGGAAACCGGTACAAAAACATATTTTTGGGCCATTATTTGCTACAAACTAAAAGACAAGCAAAAACATGCATACCAACACCACAGCTCCAAACTGCTGAGGCATCAGAGGGCCTGAGTTGAACTGGCTGTACGCCGGCATCCTGCTGAATGGGGCATAGGAGCTTGCAGTCTGAAAAGAGGAGGCCGCAGAGGATCCTAGTGAAGACTGGAGAGGAAACAAATAATCACTAAAGTGTGTCTGGGCAAAACATCTCAGCAATACATGCACACTTCCAGGGTTCCACACAAACCGTGGTGTGCTGTGATTCTCTAGGTTTTCTTCCTTTAAAAAATACCTGTTGATCTTTCATGAATGCACACTCAGCTCTTAAAGTATGACTAAGGCTGGCCATAGACGGGCTGTTTATCGGCCGTATTGTCAGCCGATAAGCGAAAAATCAGTTGAATTGTCGGCCGATAAGCGAAAAAATCAGTCGTTGCTGCCATGGATGCTGCCACCAATGCTTACGAAAAACGGCCATTTTTAGTGGATTTTCCAGCATGACCGATAAAAAGAAATAAGAAGATCCGCGAAAAACAGCCGACGGCATTGCCCCACTAACGGTGTGAATATCGGTTGATTTTTTTCGTTCGGACGAAAAAATTCGGCCAATAAACGACCCGTCTATGGCCTGCATAAACGGCAAGACTTTTTTTTGCTGCTTTGAACAGAGTGAAGAAGGATGAGAACCCCTGTCAATTTTAATTGCTGTCTACGCCTCCAATCGGCAAATTCACCCACTCTATTAATTCTGTCTACGAATATCATTGAAAGTGAAATTAAGATAAGTCCCCAACACAGGAATAGAGGGGAAACCAGGGTGGATAAAAATCAATGATTTATTTAAAAAATAAAAAAAAAATCAATGATTTTTTTTATTTAAATCTGATTTTTTTTTATTTAAAATCTGATTTTTTTGAATAAAATGCTTTTTGAGGAAAATATATTACCATCAAAAGGTTATTCCATCATGAAATAAAGATTAGTTTATTAATTATGTAGAATAAGGCTGTATATGTTTAATTGTTTTGGTAAATAAATTCCATTAATCCATTCACAATGTCATGCTCTTCCAGAGGTTTTTGTAAGATTATTGGGCAGTTTCTCTGCCTACAAGATATTATCACAGATGATTGGTTTACTTTTGCAGTTCTCACAAAACTGAATTTGACTCAGCGGAGATCACATGCCTCTTCTTCACAGCAAAAATGTTATAACATGAACAGAGTTAAGAAAAAGACCTTCATCCTAACTTCTACAAACCTATGAATACAGAATCAACCCCTTCACTGCTAAGTTTCAAGAAGTTCAGTGAATAGAATAGAAACAATATTTTTCTGATTGTTTGGAGTGGAATAGATCTGCACAAGAAGAAAGTGAAACTAAGTGTGAGGAGGAAGGGGCTGACAGTCTAAGTTTCTTCAAATATATATATTTTGTTTAGCCAAATTAGTTACCAAACATGGATGTTTAAGCAAATAACATATGCTGGAATGTTATTGTTTCAGTTGAATAAATCTATTTAAGTTGTTATTATTAAGGTAATGATTATTTTTCTCCTTCCTAAGTACAACAGAAAAGTTGTCCAAATATGAATGATTAACCTATTAAACTGGGGATAAAAAAACTAATATGAAAAGTTGTTATTCTTCATCTACTTGTATATTAAAGTTATACCAGCAAGAATTAGTCTTTATGTAGAAAACTAGGATTTAAATCAAGCCTTACTGACTAGGGATTTAAATCAAATCCACCCTGGGGGAAACCTTCCAATAGTGACACCAGTCATGGTGAAAACTAGAAATTCCCTCACTTTGAAGGGATTTCATCACACTTCCTGTTGTGTCTGTGGGCCAGGAAATGTAATCTCCCAAATGGGAAACAGATTGCCAAAAAAAAGTCAACCAGGGCTATAGCCACGCAAATCCCCACCCCCCCACCCCCCCCCCAGCCTAACCCAAAATGAAAAAAGGTTTGCTCATAGTGCAACTTTAAGTCCTGCTGCATGCAGCATTTTTGTGGCCCGAGTGGTGTCAGCCCTGTCCAGTTCCCTTGTCATACTATTTTGACCCTCTTACTGGTCCATCTTCACAAAATAATGAGTATTCAATCTGTAGTCCAAAGACAAGGACTGGGAGGGCCAATTACTCTATGTGATAACACAATAAATCTATAGCTCTGATGTTCTGACACGATTGAACAGTTATTTTTCACTAAGGCCCCTTTCACATGATCGGTCCAATCAGGTCCGCCTGTTAAGTTTTTCAGGTGAACCCTCCATTCTCCTATATGGAGCGCCGGATGTAAATGGACTTGTGTCCATTTACACTGGCCTATCTCCAATCCGATCTGCTAAAAACAAACTGAAGGGGATCCGTTCCTATGTCTGGGCGGATCGGAGAGCAGTCGAGTGCAAACTGACAGCAGTCCATTTACATCGAACTGCCCATAGAGCAGAGCTGGCTGTGTGTGTCTGCTCTGCATAGGCGGAGCGGACACAGGCCTGTCATCTGCTTGATATGCTCTGCGGGAGATCAACGGACAGATCCAACACTGAGCAAGCAGACTCCACGCTGTGTTAAATGGGCCTAATAGATATAACAAAATGATTTCAATGGTAGATTGACCAGCCCGAAGGGAAGCAAATAGCGATGGCTTCGCTTTTAAACATACTTTCCTGTCATAACTCCAAAAGGTGCACTCAATGAAAACATGCTGCAGTTTCCTTCCACACCAGGCAAAGGACTGAACAGCTATTTGGAGAGATAACAAGCAGCCAGCTATGGGCAGAAGAAATGCAGATACCTGGACTATGGCCGGGTCTTGTGGCAAGGAGCACTGGGGCTTCGGAGGTTCGCACACTGTGAGGTCTTTGATATCGCTCCCCCGGAATATGATGTATTCAAACACTTCATCTCGAGGAGCTACAGGCCTCTCTGTGGGCCGATCCTCAGTTCCAAAGGAACGGACTGGAAAAAAAGAAAGAAAATAGTTTTGTGAACAGAAAAAAAAATACACATGCAGATGTTTCCTAACAAAGCCATGTGATCGCCATTCCATAGCCGATAAGAATCTATGCTGACTGACTATCAATAGTGGAGAGTGGAAGACGAGGGATGATTAAAGCCGGACTTCAGGCAAAGAGCTGAACACACAAAATACTAATATAGGAGCACATTTACCTGCCAAAGAATTTGTATTTCAGTACTGATTTTGGTTTGCTGCATTTCAGTAACATGTACATATCGTGCCCCCCCCAGATTGACTGGACAATGAAAGGAGAAGCAGCAGACTGACCTCATCTGTCCGTCACTCTGCTGTCTCCTTCTATCAGCATAATCATGTGCTGCAGAAGAAGTGATTGGCTGATTATGCTGGCCATCACTCTCCCAATCTGAGCTCTGTTGTAAAGGGCTTCCAAGAGGCTGATTATAGGTCAGATTCAGGTATTACACTGCCTTGATTGAAAAAAAAAAAATATTAATAAATGCAGAACATCAATCTGCATCTTTTATATCTGCCCGGAATTCAACTAAAGCTGAACTCTGAGAAAAACGCTTGTTTTTGTCAAGGAGAAGCAACTCTTAGATTGTAAGCTCCTAGGATCAGGGCCCTCCTAACCCTATTGAACTGTATTGTTGCTGTATTGTCTCCCTTTATATTGTAAAGCGCTGAGCAAACTGTTGGCGTCATAAATCCTGTATAATAATAAATAATATATAAATCCTGTATAATAATAATAAATAAATCCTGTATAATAATAATAATATATAAATCCTGTATAATATAATAATAATAATATATAAATCCTGTATAATAATAATAATATATAAATCCTGTATAATAATAATATATAAATCCTGTATAATAATAATAAATAATATATAAATCCTGTATAATATTATACAGAATTTATGTATTATTATACAGGATTTATATATTATTATTTTTATTATACAGGATTTATATATTATTATTATACAGGATTTATATATTATTATTATACAGGATTTATATATTATTATTAACAACAACCTTATTCCTCACTCCCGCAGGCTTCTTCCACAACCAATACCCCCCCCCCCCCCCCCCCCCCCCGATCACCACCCATGATCAGTGTATTGTGACTGCTCTCATTGGCTCCTGAAGATGTCAATCACTGGGTACCTACCGGCCAGCAATTTATGACCGGGACTCTGATTGGCAGAGCAGCTGACAGGGGTGAGATCTGTAAACAACAGAGCTCTCTCCTGTCAGCATGTTCAAGCTGCTTTCTATCTCTCTGCAAAGCAGAGAGATAGAAAGCAGCCCCTCCCCTAGTAAATCACACACAGCACACTGTTAACCCTTTGATTGCCCCAGATGTTAACCCCTTCCTGCCCAGTGCCATTTGTACAGTGTTGGGGCTTTTTATTAGCACTGATCACTGTATTAGTGTCACTGGGGATGTCAGTGGCAGTTAGTTCCCCCCAGTGTCAAAATGCCAGCTGCAATCCCATATAAGTAGCTGAAAAAAAAAAAAAATTCCAGTATATATACTGCCATTTGTTGACTCTATAACTTTCACGTAAACCAATATACACTTATTGTGATTTTTTTTTACCAAAGACACGCAGCAGAATACATTTTGGCCTAAATTTATGAAAAACATTTATTTTTATAATGGATATGTTTTTATAGCAAAAAGTCAATTCTTTTTTCCAGAATTGTTGGTCTTTTTGTTTACAGCGCAAAAAAAAAAAAAAAAACCAGGTGATTAAATACCAATGGCATTAATTTTATTTATGTACAACATTGCATGACCGCGCAATTGTTAGTTAAAGCAATGCAGTGCCATAGCACAAAAAAATGGCCTGTTCAGGAAGGGGGGGGGGGGGGGGTGTAGTATATCTTCCGGAGGGCAAGTGGTTAACAGAACAAGCTGTCCAGCAAAAGTTGCAGTTAGAGGAGCGAGACGAACCATTTACTGCTGGCTGAGGTGCTCACAGTTCTATTGTTTATAGCTTGTATGTAACCTTTATCCCAAAAAAGGAAAAACTTTTGCTGCAACTGCTTATAAAGTGAGAGCTGGAGTTCACATTATATTTGTTGATCAAGTCAACTAAAGCTGCTAATCTAACTCCCCCCCCCCCCCCAGAGTGACAATGCAGCTGTCCAAAGGCACCTCCTTTGCTCCTCCATTCAGTGAGACAACCAAACACAGGAGGTGTGCTACTGGCCAGATCAGCAGGTGAAAACAGACAGGAAAGAAGTCTAAACAAACAAAAACTATTGCAGCCACCACATCTGACTGGTAAGCTGCAATATATGACACTTTAAAAACACAAAAGAAAAATCGAAGTTCTCCTTTCCATAAAAAATGTGAACACCTGCACTCTCCCCCGGTCCCTGCAGCACCTACCTCTGTGGGTGATTCTCTACGACTACCTATACAGCCGATGCAGCGGTCTGGGGATTTGAAAGCCACACTCATCTTCCCCTTCTTAACTTAGGGCTGCCAGAACAGATTAGAAGGATTCTGATTGGTCCCATGTTGTCACGTGACCCATCTGACCAATCAGAATTGCTTTGATCTGCCCTGGAAGCCCTATGGAAAAGAGGGAATGGTGTTTATCCTAGCCAATTCAAAACTAAAAGCAGATTTGGCTTTAGATATACATTACTGTCTTTGCTCCCCAGGGAGAATGAAGTCCGCAAGACAGACGCCAAGTGCACCTCCATCCCCAGCACCCGCGGGATCACAGCCGGGACCGCACACATTACATGGAATCACCGTCATTGAAAAATAACAAATGGCATCTGTAAACGCCACCTGTGCTGACCGCATGTGTCTGTTACCAGCCTCCTATACAGCACCAGTCAGAGGGAGTGCTCACCACCAGGAGCAGGTAATCAACAAGGGGAGCAGAGAGATGACCTCATCACTGTACTGCTGAGGACACATTGTGGGAGGGGCAGTGACAACTACTGCAGGGAGAGCTCACCATTGGGGGAGTTGGTAGATGCACTGTCCCCCCCCTTGGGAGAGGGCAGACGCACGCTACCTCCAAAGTGAGAGGCAGACGCACGCTACCCCCAAAGTGAGAGGCAGACGCACGCTACCCCCACCACCAACTCTTCACCCCTGGGGGAGGAGCATACACACGCTACGCCCCCACCCCAAGGGAGGAACAGAGACACACTATAACCACACACCCCCAGGGAGGGGCAGGATCACGCTATCCCCCTTACTCTCCCCCTGGGGGAGGGGCAGGAGCACGCTACCCACCCGATTCTCCCCATTGTAGGAAAGGCAGGAGCATCCTAGCCCCCCCTCCCCAACTTCTATTGTGGGAGGAGCAGAGACGTGCGGCACCCCAACTCCCATCATTGGGGGGGGAAGGGGCAGAGACATGCTACACCCCAACTCCCATCATTGGGGGGGCAGAAACGTGCTGCTGCACCCCAACTACCATCATTGGAGGGGCAGAGACGTGCTGCTGCACCCCAACTACCATCATCGGGGGGGAGGGGCAGAGACGTGTGGCTGCACCCCAACTCCCATCATCGGGGGGGAGGGGCAGAGACGTGCGGCTGCACCCCAACTACCCATCATCGGAGGGGAGGGGCAGAGACGTGCTGCTGCACCCCAACTACCATCATTGGGGGGGGCAGAGACGTGCTGCTGCACCCCAACTACCATCATTGGGGGGGGGCAGAGACGTGCGGCTGCACCCCAACCATCATCGGGGGAGGGGCAGAGACGTGCGGCTGCACCCCAACTCCCATCATTGGGGGGGGGCAGAGACGTGCGGCACCCCAACTCCCATCATTGGGGGGAGGGCAGAGACGTGCGGCACCCCAACTCCCATCATTGGGGGGAGGGCAGAGACGTGCGGCACCCCAACTCCCATCATTGGGGGGGGCAGAGGGCAGAGACGTGCGGCACCCCAACTCCCATCATTGGGGGGAGGGCAGAGACGTGCTGCACCCCAACTCCCATCATTGGGGGGAGGGCAGAGACGTGCTGCACCCCAACTCCCATTATTGGGGGGGGGGGGCAGAGACGTGCAGCACCCCAACTCCCATTATTGGGGGGGCAGAGACGTGCAGCACCCCAACTCCCATTATGGGGGGGCAGACAAAGGCTATACCCCAAATCTCATCGCTGGGGGAGGGGCAGACACAAAAGTCCCCCCCAATCTCCCCACTGTGGGAGGAATCAGTAGCACCCAGGACCCCCCTGTATTTACAGATAAAAGGACACGTCCACCTTGGTGCCCTGGACACCTACAGCTGAAGGAGAACCACAAGTCTCAGAACACCCCTGCCTGACCCCTCACACTGGCCTGTAGGCACCATTTTGGGCTGTGAGAGGCTCCCCGCGGCCAGGAGCCCCCTCTATCCCCCCAGAGCGGGGCCCTTCCTCCCGTCCCCCTCCGTACCTTTGGCCAGGGCCACAGTGGAGTTCTCAGTGTCGATGGTGTAGAGGATCCCCTCATATCGGATCTCCGCCTTGGAGATGAGGCTGATCTTACTGCCGATGTACGGCGTCCCGCCGCTCATGGTGTCTCCCCAGCCGGATGGACGCGGATTGAGGATCAGGCCGGGATGAGAAGTTCTCCTCCTTCCTCTCAGCTCTCCTGGACGCGGGCCTAATCTAACATGGCCGCCACAGTCTTCATCTTCCTGCGCAGGGTACGACGGGAAAGCGCGGCTGCTGCGCTGTCTTCTCGCGAGAGCTTGTCAGGCGTTGGTTGGCAAAACGTCGCCAGAGAGCTGCCAACCACACGGCGCGTCGGGGGCGGGGAAATGTGACCATGGAAACAGTCTGTCAGCTCTGAGGGGTATGGCTGGAAGAAGGTGTGTACACCCAGGGGGAGGGTTTTCATGGCGGATCTGTGGTGGGGGCTGGGTTACTGACCCTTTATACATGAACCTATTATTATTATTATACAGTATTTATAAAGCGCCAATAGTTCGTTCAGCGCTGTACATTACAAAGGGGGACAGAACATGTGACAGAATAATACCAATACAATGCAAAACATGAGGGGATCGAGGGCCTATCTGAGAATGTGACTAAAGAGAACCTGTCATTGGAGATGAGATGTAAGTGACGGTAGTCATTATTATTGTCAGCAATGGGGTGAATTACCAAAATTTCCCCAAACTGGGGTAAGATGGTTCAGCACTAGGCTACATTTCTGAGACTGGGGTATATTACCTCAAATTGTCCATTAATGAGGTAAATAACCAGAAGCAAGATAAAATTGTCCAACACTGGCAGAAATAATAAGTACTGAGGTAAAAGTGTCCAGCAATGGTACCAGATAACCAGAATTGGGGGTAAATTTGCCCAGCTCAGGGTTAAATAACCAGAACTGAGATAAATTTGGCCAGCATTGGGGTAAATTACAAGAACTGAGGTAAAATTGTCCAGCACTGGGGTAAATAACCACAACTGAGGTAAAATTGGCCAGCAATGAGGTAAATACCCAGAACTGAGGTAAAAAATCGAATCAGTTATCAGAACTGAGGTAGAAATTTGGATAAATTACCAGAACTGAGCTAAAGTTGTCCAGCAATGGAGTAAATAACCAAAACTGGGGTACAATTGGCCAGCAATGGGTTAAATACCCAAAACTGAGGTAGAAAATTGGATAAATTACCAAAAACTGAGGTAAAATTGTGGCCCAGAATAAATTACCAAAACTGAGGTAAAATTGTTGGGGTAAATAACCAGAACTGATGTAAAATTGTCCAGAATTGCAGTAAATAACCATAACTGATGTAAAATTGTCCAGATTTGGGGAAAATAGCCAGAACTGAGGTAAAGTTGTCCAGCAATGGAGTAAATAACCAAAACTGGGGTACAATTGGCCAGCAATAGGTTAAATACCCAAAACTGAGGTAGAAAATTGGATAAATTACCAGAACTGAGGTAGAATTGTCCAGCACTGGGGTAAATAACCACAACTGAGGTAAAATTGGCCAGCATTGGGTTAAATACTAAGAACTGAGGTAAACAATCGTATAAATTATCAGAAGTGAGATAGACAATTGGGTGAATTATGAGAACTGAGGTACAATTGTCCACCAAGGGGTAAATAACCAGAAATGGGGTTAAATTGGGCAGCAATGGGGTAAATACCCAGAAATGAGGTAGAAAATTGGATAAATTACCAGAACTGAGGTAAAATTGCCCAGAAATGGGATAAATAACCACAACTAAGGTAAAAAATTGGCCAGCAATGGGGTAAATACCCAGAACTGAGGTAAAACATTTCTTAAAATTATCAGAACTGAGGTAGACAATTGAATGAATTACCAGAACTGATGTAAAATTGTCCAGAATTGGGGTAAATAACCAGAACTAATGTAAAATTGTCCAGAATTGGGGTAAATAACCAGAACTGATGTACAATTGTCCAGAATTGGGGTAAATAATCAGAAAAATTAGTAAACGTGTCCAGCAATGGAGTAAATAACCAAAACTGGGGTTAAAATTAGCCAGTAATGGGGTAAATGCCCAGAACTGAGGTAGAAAATTGGATAAATTACCAGAACTGAGGTAAAATTGATCAGCAATGGGGTAAAATAGCCAAAACTGGGGTAGAATATTGGATAAGTGACCAGAACTAAGGTAAAATTGGCAGCAATGAGCTCAATAACCAGAATGGAGGGAAACATGACCAGCAATGCTTTAAACAGCCAGAACTGAGGACAAAGTGTCACTCAATTAGGTAAATAATCATAACTGAGGTAAAATTGTCCATAAATGGGGTAAATAACCAGAACGGAGATAAGATGTGACTAGCAATTGGTTAAACAGTCAGGCCTGAGGTAAAATTCTCCAGGAATGAGGTAAATAGCCAGCATTGAGGTGAAATTGACCAGCAGTGGGATAAATAGTCAGAATTGAGATACATTTGTCCAAAACTGGGGTAAATAACATGAACTGAGGTAAAACTGTCCAGTAAAAGACCAAAATGGAGGGAAAAAGTGACCAGCAATGGGTTAAATAGTCAGAACTGATTTAAATTGCCAATCACACAAATAATCAGAACTGAGATAAAAAAAAAACTTTCCAGCAATGGGGCAAATGACCAGAACTGAGGTAAAATTGTCCATCAGGTTAAAAATCAGAATTGAGATAAAATTGTCCATCAGGTTAAAAATCAGAATTGAGGTAAAATAGTCCATCAGATTAAAAATCAGAATTGAGGTAAAATTGTCCATCAGGTTAAAAATCAGAATTGAGGTAAAATTGTCCAGCAATTGGGGTAAATAACCAGAATTGAGTTACAACCAATTTAAAATTGTCCAAAATGGGGTAATTTGTCTAAAACTGGGGTTAAATTGTCCAGCACCTGGGTAAATTGCTAGAAAAGAGGGTGAATAACTAGTTGTCTAGCATTGGGGTAAATTACCCAGAGCTAAGGGGAACATTAAAAAAAACACAGTAAATTGCCCATCGCTGGGGGTAAAAGGATGTAGTCCAGCTAAAAATTGTCCAGGAATGGTGTGAATTGGCAAGAAGAGAGGAAAATTATGTGAAAATAAGATATCTTGCTTAAAAACATGGTAAAAAAAAGTGTCCATCAGAACTGGGGGGAAAAGTGATGAATTGGGGGAATTATATAAGATGTAAAATCACCCAGCACTGGAGAAAATTGCCCAACATTGGGGGGGGGGGGGGGGGGGGGGGAATTTCCAGTATTGTAGTGAATTATATTAAATTAGGGTAAAATTTTGGCCACACTTCAGTTTGGCTACCTACCCTCCCTGGGGACATCACTGAAGGGTGCTGCTCAGTTGGGGGATAGGAGTCATGTTTACATTGTATGGCAGATGGGAGACATGTTTACATTGTTTGGGGGATGGGAGTCATGTTTACATTTTATGAGGGATGGGAGTCATGTTTATATTATATGGGGGATGGGAGTCATGTTTACATTGTATGGGGGGGATGAGAGTCATGTTTACATTGTGGGGGGGATGGGAGTCATGTTTACATTGTATGGGGGATGGGAGCCATGTTTACATTTTATGAGGGATGGGAGTCATGTTTACATTGTTTGGGGGATGGGAGTCATGTTTACATTGTATGGGGGATGGGAGTCATGTTTACATTGTATGGGGGATGGGAGTCATGTTTACATTGTATGGAGAATGGGAGTTATGTTTACATTTTATGAGGGATGGGAGTCATGTTTACATTGTATGGATTGGGATGGGAGTCCTGTTTACATTGTATGGGGGATGGGAGTCCTGTTTACATTTTTATGGGGGATGGGAGTCATGTTTACATTGTATGGGGGATGGGAGTCCTGTTTACATTGTATGGGGGATGGGAAGTCATGTTTACATTGTATGGGGGATGGGAATCATGTTTACATTGTATGGGGATGGGAGTCATGTTTACATTGTATGGGGGATGGGAGTTTCATCATGTTTACATTGTATGGGGGATGGGAGTCATGTTTACATTGTTTGGGGATGGGAGTCATGTTTACATTGTATGGGGATGGGAGTCATGTTTACATTTATGGGGGATGGGATTGTTTACATTGTATGGGGGATGGGAGTCATGTTTACATTTTATGGGGGATGGGAGTCCTGTTTACATTTTTGGGGGATGGGAGTTGTTTACATTGTATGGGGGATGGGAGTCATGTTTACATTTTTATGAGGGATGGGAGTCCTGTTTACATTGTATGGGGGATGGGAGTCCTGTTTACATTGTATGGGGGATGGGAGTCATGTTTACATTGTATGGGGGATGGGAGTCCTGTTTACATATTATGAGGGATGGGAGTCATGTTTACATTGTATGGTGGTATGAGAGTCATGTTTACATTGTATGGGGGATGGGAGTCATGTTTACATTGTATGGGGGATGAGAGTTTCATGTTTACATTGTATGGGGGATGGGAGTCATGTTTACATTGTATGGGGGATGGGAGTCATGTTTACATTGTATGGGGGGATGGGAGTCATGTTTACATTGTATGGGGGGGGATTGGAGTCATGTTTAGTCTGATGGTGATTTTTATGACCTTTGCATAAATTCAGACTTGGCACTGACTGCTCTTTAAAGTGGACCTGTCATATTTTTTCATGTCAAGTGCAGAATGCCAAGTAATGTGTCAGTGAAACCCTTCCAGGTATTTATTACCTCTCACAGAGATCACAGGACTCCCCCTGAAAATTTCTTCATCTCTGCTCTTCTCTCAGAAAGATGACGCCATCTTTGTTGAGGCATCATTCAGGGTTACTATTTACTTCCAGGACTCAGAGATGACACAATCATGTAAATCCTGGTGCCTGTGCAGTTCTTGGCTGTGTTCACAGTTATCTGACACTGATCAGCCTCTGATGCAGCTTCTCACTTTGCTACAAAATTACAATGTACAGTGTGATCACTGAGAGAGGGGAGACTGAGGGAGTGTTTCCTCCAGCCTGCAGCAGACTGATGACATCATCTCAGCACAGACAGAGTCACTGACTGAGACTCAAGGGCAGCTGTTTACCGTATTTTTCGCTCCATAAGACATACTTTCCCCCCCCCAAGAATGGGGGGAAATGTCTGTGTGTCTTATTGAGCGAATTTGACTAGGCCCCCCCCCCCCTTGCAGGGAGGAGGCGGGGCCAGGAGACCCACTGACCCTGCCCCATGCAGCCTGTATGCTCAGGAGGGAACTGCTACTAGAAGCTGAGATGTGAGTGGGAGCCCCGCCCTCAGAGAGGATGCTGAGCCCGGCTGGCCAGGTATGTCCTCCCCCCCCATATACTGCCTGTGGACTGCTATACCAAACTGTATATATGTACATTGCTGAAAGGTCTCTGGTCATCTCCTGTACTGTGTCCGCAGTCTCTGGTCATCTCCTGTACTGTGTCCGCAGTCTCTGGTCATCTCCTGTACTGTGTCCGCAGTCTCTGGTCATCTCCTGTACTATGTCTACAGTCTCCGGTCATCTCCTGTACTGTGTCCGCAGTCTCTGGTCATCTCCTGTACTATGTCCTCAGTCTCTGGTCATCTCCTGTACTATGTCTGCTCTCTGGTCATCTCCTGTACTATGTCTGCAGTCTCTGGTCATCTCCTGTACTGTGTCTGCAGTCTCTGGTCATCTCCTGTACTATGTCTGCAGTCTCTGGTCATCTCCTGTACTATGTCTGCAGTCTCTGGTCATCTCCTGTACTATGTCTGCAGTCTCTGGTCTCTCCAGTACTATGTCTACAGTCTCTGGTAATCTCCTGTACTGTGTTCGCAGTCTCTGGTCATCTCCTCTACTATGGCCTCAGTCTCTGTTCATCCCCTGTACTATGTCCGCAGTCTCTGGTCATCTCCTGTACTATGTCCGCAGTCCCTGGTCATCCCCTGTACTTTGTCTGCAGTCTCTGGTCATCTCCTGTAGTATGTCTACAGTCTCTGGTCATCTCCTGTACTATGTCTGCAGTCTCTGGTTATCTCCCGTACTATGTCCGCAGTCTCTGGTCATCTCCTGTACTATGTCTGCAGTCTGGTCATCTCCTGTACTATATCCGCAGTCTCTGGTCATCTCCTGTACTATGTCTGCAGTCTCTGGTCATCTCATGTACTGTGTCCGCAGTTTCTGGTCATCTCCTGTACTATGTCTACAGTCTCTGGTAATCTCCTGTACTGTGTTCGCAGTCTCTGGTCATCTCCTGTACTGTGTTCACAGTCTCTGGTCATCTCCTCTACTATGGCCTCAGTCTCTGTTCATCCCCTGTACTATGTCTGCAGTCTCTGGTCATCTCCTGTACTATGTCCGCAGTCTCTGGTTATCCCCTGTACTTTGTCTGCAGTCTCTGGTCATCTCCTGTACTATGTCTGCAGTCTCTGGTCATCTCCTGTAGTATGTCTGCAGTCTCTGGTTATCTCCTGTACTATGTCCGCAGTCTGGTAATCTCCTGTACTATATCCGCAGTCTCTGGTCATCTACTGTACTATGTCCGCAGTCTCTGGTCATCTCCTGTACTATGTCTGCAGTCTCTGGTCATCTCCTGTAGTACATCCACAGTCTCTGGTCATTTCCTGTACTGTGTCTGCAGTCCATTGGTTCAGAATATTTTTTTTCTTGTTTTCCTCCTCTAAAACCTAGGTGCTTCTTATGGTCAGGTGTGTCTTATGGAGCGAAAAATACGGTAATTATAAAAGGTGGAACTGTAATGGGGTGTAGCCCCCTTTAACATGTTCCTCCCTGCCTGGGCTGACAGGTACCAGCCCATTAACAGCACAGGTTATACAAATTGCAAGAGGCTTCCAGAGTGTTGAGAGAAAAAAACCTGCCAATGTAAGGGAAGTCATGGATTGATGAATTTCATCAGCTGGTCCCAGCTTCCTGTGAGCTCCCCTTCAGAGGAGCACTAGGACTTCTCCCAAACTGAGGAGGTGAGACAAATAGCAATAATCATCCTGAGAAATGACAGGACACTGTACAACATTCTGCTTGGGTACAGGTCCCTCTATCTCTCTACCTACAGAGTACCCCTGTAACCTGTTTAAGTCGAGCAGCATCATCATCCTGTATGACTGAACATTCTGCCATCATCCTTCAGTAAAATTGTTAGCCTGTCAAAAGGAGCCTGGTGTGGACTTTTATCATTCTGTACTAATGGGGGACTATGGTTTAACATGGGCTTGAGCATGACTGTAGAGGGTCCAAGTTCCAGTAAGGCCAGACAGGATCCAGGAAGTCCTAGTGGGGTGATCAGTGAAGAGGGGTGAGGGTTGTTCAGCCAGGCATAGGAGCCCTGGGAAGCCTACAGGTATATAGAGGACCCTGATTCTGGTTAGTTTGTCCTAGAGGGGTGATGTTCCGGTGTTCCACACTGCCAGGCACAGGAACCCCTGGTCAGCCCATGGACTAGAGAGAGGGCCTGGGTTTAATCTACGGTTTCCCAGAGAGATGAAGTCTTGGTGTTCTACTCTGCCAGGCATAGACATCTTGGGCAGGTCATGGGCAAGATGGAGGGCCTAGGTTATGGTTATAGTGTCCCTGGGGGTAATGTACTCATGTCCCACCCTGCCAAGCACAAGAACCCTAGACGGTTTAAGGGCAAGATAGAGGACACAGGTTTCGGTTAGGGTGTCTCAGAGTGGTGATGTCCTGGTGTACCACCCTGCCAGGCACAGGAACCTTGGACAGTCTATAGCTAGATAGAAGGCTTAGGTTTTGGTTGGGGTGTCCTAGAGGGGTGATGTCCCGGTGTTCCACCCTGACAGACACAGGAACCCTGGAAAGCCCATGAGCTATATAGAGGGCCCTGGCTATGGTTATTGTGTCCCAGAGAGGCGATGTCCGTGTGTTACACACTACCAAGCACAGACACCCTGGGCAGCCTATGGGCTAGATAGAGGTCCTGGTGTCCCATCCTGCAAACAAAAAGAACCCTAAGCAGCTCATTATCCAGATAGAGCATCCAGGTTCCTGTCAAAGTGTCCCAGAGGGGTGATGATCTGGTGTCTCAGCCTGTTAAGTACAAGAACCCTGGGCTGCTCATGGGCTAGATAGAGGATTCAGGTTTTGGTTTGGGTGTCCCAGAGGGAAGATATCCTGATGTTCCACCCTGCCAGGTACAGGAACCCCTGGGCAGCCTATGGGCTAGATAAGAGGGCCTAGGTTCTGGTTAGTGTGTCCCAGAGGGGGTGATGGCCCAGTGTTCCACCCTGCCAGGCACGGGAACCATGAACAGCTCATGGGGTAAATAGAGGGCTGGGTTTCAGTTAGTGTGTCCCAGAGTTGTGTTGTCTCAGTGTCCCACCCTCCCAGATGGGGGAACCCTCAGTAGCCCATGGACTAAATAATGGGCGTGGGTTTCTGCTATGGGATCTCAGAGGGGTGATATCCAAGTGTCCCACCCTGCCAAGCACGACAACCCTAGGCAGCCTAGTTACCCTGGAAAGCCAGAGGGTCACCAGGATCACCCAGGTTGACTAGGAATGGGTCACTCCTATACTATACTCTGTCCTGCAATATAACAGAACTTTACTGAAAAATGATACTGTTCCTGTATATGTGATATCAAGATTTTCCTTCATGCAGACTTATAAAGTTACTGACAGGTCCACTTTAAGGGGGGACAAATTTTCTAATAACTGAAATAAAAAAGCAGCAGACAAAACATAATTACTGGAATAAAAGAATTGTTGCCCATAACAATTAGACACTTGCTCTCAGCATCTATTTGGCCCTCAAATAATAACAGCTGGAATCTGGTTGCCGCCAGCAACATAAACACTTTCTGCACATCTCTATTGTCCCCCTCTAAAATGTTCAGTGTCGCTTCTCATTATTACTCTATTTTGGTTGGGTAATTCGTCTGTCGTTAAATTGCTAGTAAGTAACAACCGAACCCCCAGCCCCCTTATGGCATTCTTAAACCTTTTTTATTTTAGGCTCCGATAAGCGTGCTCTAGCCGCATCCATATGCCCCATTAGATCAAAATGATATTTTATTACGGAAACAAAACAGCTTCTGCAGAAAAATAAAGAGTAAAAAAAAAAACTTTTGTCCCGCAGCTTGTAAAATTGCAACGTTTATAGAGCCAATCCATAATGACAAATATTGTGTTTTGCTGCGGTGAACAATTGTTTTTAGCAGCGCTTTATATGTTTCTTAATATTCATCGTGATGGCTGATCAAAGGAAGACGATGCTTTAAACTAAAACAAACGTCTTGTTTAGCATGCTGAGCATGAAACCGTCTACGGGAAGTGAATTGTCTTGAAGCAAGCGTATAATTGACAGAAGTTCTTGTTTTTTCAAAACCGCCATGTATCTGCATCCTGTCAGAAGCGGAGGGCTTGTCACTTTAACTGCCTTGTATCTTTCGGGGGACCGCGGGGCACAAAATATGCTCCTTTTGGGCATGATTAAGCTGGAAAGGCCACATCTTCAATAATTTAATTCCTCTCAGTCATCTAGATTTAGACAAATTGATATTGGCCTAGGATGGTTGCAATATAAATAAACAGTTCTTGTAGTGTGACAGGCAAAGCCAGCGCATAACAAGACAGTCTACTGTGTAGCTCTTTATTAAGTTCTTCCTTCTATCTGTTCGTCCAAAAGATTTATTTCTGATTGAGTTTATAGTTAATTATTTGGGAAGGTTTTCCCCCATAATTTGTACCCTGTAAGGGTATTTTGTTAGCTATTTATTTTAAAGCTGAACACAAGGCACAAAGACTTTTTTTCATGATGAACTATGGGTAGAATTTTTATTACATCTGTATAAATGTGTTTTGTTATCTTTAACCCAGACTTTCTCTACCAGGGTTCTGTGGAACTCTAGGGTTCCCAGAGGTTGATAAGGGTTTCTTGAGCAATGATGAATAACCAGTGACACCAATGATCTTTTTTTTAGCAGGTAAAATTTTTTATTGGGTTTACAAAAAAGGGCAGCACAGTGGCTAAATGGTTAGCACTTCCACCTGGCAGTACAAGGGTTGTTGGTTCAAATCCCAACCATGGCATCACCTGCTTGGAGTTTGCATGCTCTTCCTGTGCTTGCTTGGGTTTCCTCCCACACTCCAAAGACATGCTGGTAGGTGAATTGGCTCCTGTCTAAATTGTCCCTAGTATGTGTATGCATGAATGTGAGTTAGGGACCTTAGATTGTACGCCCCGTGAGGGTTAGCGACTGATATGAATGTACAATATATATGGAAAGCGCTGCGTAAATTGATGGCGCTATATAAGTACCTGAAATAAAATAAAATTACAATAGTGCCACACATCTTTGCAGGACAGTAAATAAAATACATAGTGTTATTTGGGTTACAATAACACAGTAGTAAAATGAAATCGCATACAAAAATACAGGTTGGTAACCAAGTTATACATATGTCTAACAAACAGGACTAACGTAGTCACCATCCAGTGGAGAAGTAAAAAAGGTACAAGGAGAGCGTAAGGAGGAAGGGTTAGAAAGTAGGCTAGAGTTCATGGCAACCAATGCCCAGCCTGCCCAGGTAACAATCTAGGAAGGAAAGGGAAGAGTTAGGGAAAGTAAGAATGCAGGGAAAGGAAAGGGATACGAAAAGGAAGGGGGGGGGGGAGGAGAAGAGAAAAACTGAGTGTTTCTAAGAGTCCCCCAGTTTGAGACAGAG